CAAAATGTTCATGGTATGTCTTTTTAGGTGGCAACTATTGTAGGTTCTAATAATATTGAAAAATAGGAAGTGAATTGATCTATTAAGCAACAAAGTGAGTTCGAAACGAAACAATCAACTCAAGGTCAAAATAAAAAGATATTGAGAATGGTGATGAAAATGAAAGAATATATGTGATGAAGGGAAACCTCTCAAAGGATATTTAGTTGAGAAAGTTAAGGTGGTTCATATTTTTAGGAACAAAGCGGCACTGGCTAAAAAATTCAAGGAGTAATGAATTTGACGACGTTATCGATGGCGATAACAAAGTATTGGAAGAGACCGTTGTCGAATATGGGATCAATGATGATAACATCAATTGTAAGGAAATTGAGGTCAAAGAAATTAACGGGAATGAAGTTAAAGTAGATGGTGGTACTAAGATGAGGTCCACATTAGCACAAGGAATGAATAAAAATGAAGATGAGGCTAAGTTGGAAAGGAAAGGATGTTAACTCAGCACAAAGGTGTACTTTGCTTATTTGGATGAATCACGTTCTTCAAGGGATATTGGCAACAACCTCTCCATTGGCAAATATTTGAGAATGAAAAACTCTTTTATAATTGTTACAATGGAGAAATCAAGTTCATGTTTTGAAGTCATTACTTGACTTTATGACATCGAACATAGTGAAGCCATTGGCATTGAGGATTATGCAACAAAAATCCAATTTGTGAAAATAGAGTTTGTCAATGAAGAAAAATATAAGGATGACCCTTTGTAAAGTTACAATAGGAGATACATATAAATTTGCTTGAACAAGTCCAAGGAAAGATTAATTTGAAGTACAAAGAGGACGTAAACAAGAAAAGATGTATCGAGATGTTTCATGCAACGAAAACTCCAGGATGATTTTTTTTTTTTTAAGAGAGAGGATAAGATGTAGAACAATAATTATTGATTTTTATATTATATTTTTATTTTTCATTTTTTTTGATAGGATGAGATTTTAATTAGGAATACTCTAACTTGATTTATTGTCTAAACCATGTTAATTTTTCTAATTCTATTAAACATGTATTTTATTATTTTAGGTAACTTTCCTGACATTAGTGATTGATGTCAATTTTGAAAACACTTAAGAGTTTTGGGTTTCCTAATTACTTTATGTACTACGAGTTCTATTCAGTCAAGTCAATAATAAAATATTTTTCTTTTGTTTCTTTGTGGATTCGGAGTTTGTGCATGTTCTTATACTTAGAAATGGTGATTTCTTCGTGTCTTCCGTTTACCGCTGCCTCAAGATCTCAATCATCAATAAAATCAACTCTATCTGGGTTCTATGGATTCAAAGTGTGTAAGTGTTCTTACACTTAGAAATAGTAATTTCTTTGTTTCTTTCGTTTACCGCTGCATCAAGATCCCAATCCTCAATAAAATCAACATATTTGGGTTCATATCTTACTTCAATGCAAAAACATACAAGTCATAATATGAATAAGATGAAAAAAATTATATTACAGATAATAGTGAGAATCTAGGAAGCACGAACACTTTATTTTGAGCAGAGTGTCGATGTTAGACACGTCTCGAAAAAGGACACACTTCGGACACGTTAAAATGAGTGTCTGATTTTTTTATTATTAAATTAATTTTTTTTTCAAAATACGTTGAGGACACGCGACTGACACGCTCAGGACCCATTTTAAGATTTATTTTTAATTTTTTGAGAATTTTTCAAATAATTTTATAATTAAGAGTTATTTTTATAATTTTAAAGGGATATGAGACACAATCATAATATAAAAGAAGTTATAATCATTATATTGAATATATGACATGAATGTAACATAATGTTGGATACGAATGCAAACTTATATACAAATATAATAAACTTTTAATACGAAAGTAATGTGAGAAAAAATGGAGTTACAAAATTTGGGCTTTTGAAAATTGATAAAAATTAGGGTTAGGAAGAAGAATATTTTTGAAAATAAAAGTTATAATAGTCATTATTTTATCACATATATATATATATAAATATTTATTATTTAACGTATCGTTAATATGTCCGTGTCCGTGTCGTTTCGTATTAGTGTTTCGTTTTTGTGTCTGTGTTTCTTACGTGAGAATCTACATTCCCTAACATGCATAAAATTTGCTATGTGATTTACTAGCATTGTGGTACAAAGGAATTAAAATGATTTGCAAAGTCTAAAACAAGATGTATGGCTCTCTAAAGCTAAAGGGTAAATTAAAAAAGTTATTATCACAAAACAGTAAGGCTTAATTATTGAAAAATAAATAGCAAATTGCCTTGGAAAAAATGAGGAACAAATGTTCCATGTTAGTTCCAGGGCTTTGTTATTTGATTTAGCTTTTGCTTTACAATGGTCATAATAGGCTTTTCAATTGTTTTTCAATTTTTGTTTGGACCTAATTTTTAAGCATAGTTTATTCATCTAATCCACTGTTGTTGTTTTGTTGATGATAAACCTCATCCAAAGCTACTACCCATTGCTAGTCAAATGACGATATTGACATTGCACTTAGACAAGAATTCAAAAATTAATTTATATTATATTTTATTCATTAGTAAGAACGTATTTTCACAAGCATGCACAAAATTTGCTATGTTATTCAAGGGCATTGTGGTAAAACCTTATCAAAGAACGATTATGATTTCATGGAATGTAAACACAATTTATCGTAAAAAGATATTATCAAAAAAGTAAGGTTTAATTACTGAGGAATGAATAACAAATTGCATCAGATAAAGATGGTTAACAAATGGTTAAGCACTATATGAAATTCTCAAATACAAAGGGTGTGGACTGTAGAGACTCCAAAAACGAATAGTTTCATTGGCCAATAATCATCATAATAAATCAATATAAATCTGCAAATTTTAGTGAAATGTCGAATGATTCCATTTACTAAGAACAAATACAATGATACTTACCGAAAAAAAAAAGAACAAATAGAATGATGAAACATGTAATAGAAGGCAGACCTGATGTTTATAAAGATCCTCGTTAAAGATGTCTTCAAGAGACCATGAAAACACCAACTCAATGAAGTCATCTTTCGCCAGTGCTGCTCTCTTCTTGCCTGAAGAACCCACTTCCATCATCACTCTACCTTCCAAGTCCGCTATTGCTACCTTCTTCTATTTTGGTAGTCAGACATGCATGCAACATTCAAAACATCAAAACCCCTTTTAGATATAAAACATTTTTAAAGGCAAGAGTCGGAAAGTCTTGTGAGTGAGAAGAAGAGATAGAAATGGGTTTTCTTTGTAATGCAGGAAAAAAGAGAGTCGGCCTAGGAATATGCAATACAAGCACTTGCAAAACCCTCTCTCAAAAGAAAGAGATATAATTGACCATGATCATCACTCTTTATCTCTCACCATAACTGTAGTGTTGTGTAATCTTACATATATAGAAGCTTTTTGTGTTGAAGAAAAAAAAAGAGCCAACCCAATATGAAGAACCAGGGAAACGTTAAAAAGAAATATTAAGTATACAACAGAAACCTTAGACAAGAGAGACACAAAGGGTCACAAAAGTATTGGAAATGTCAAAGGGTCCTTTCATTTTCTGCAGTAGTGGAATCATGGGTCTTGCTTTTCTTTTTTTTTTTTAATTTATTTCGCTGAAGTAGTCGTTGTAAGATGAGGAGGGGTCTATTCATCTTCTGTACTAGTTGACTGACGGTCTTCTTTTCTTTTCTTTTGTTTGGATATTCGTCCCTAATATTTTTGTTTATAATTATAAATTTATTAGGTGTAATGATCATGTAAGATTATTGTTGATCAAGTTTGAATCTTTAAGTACCCCCTCATTTAACGCATGTTATAGCGCGTGAATTCACGTCACGCGGATCTCAGCATGCAAGTTTCCAAAAAATACGTACGACAACACGAAGAACTCGCGACTTAAATTACAAAGAAAACAGCCGTGTGAAGGAATTCGTATTGTTTGAGACTCTCAGGTATATTGAATGAGTTAGTGGTGGGGTCTATAATTTTATCATCGCCATCGTCATCCAATGACATCAGCAATACTTGTCAGTATAGAAAACAAGTGCACCTAAACTATGGACTTAATTTTATTTGCCCCTTCAATTATTCATTTTTTTACATTGTCCCCTAAACTACTCAAATTATTTTATATTGTGTCAATGACAAACGTCAACTATATTTTTTGACAGAAATTATTAAAAATTACATAATTTAGTGACAAAATGAAACAAATTTTTGTTAAATATGTAACAGACGTTAATAATAAGTGCGATATGAAATTAATCACATAGTTTATAATATTATAGTGAAGAGTATTCAAATATAATTTATCCAAAAAAATACTTTGGCAAAGTGGGAAAAGAACAGCTAGGAACCTGGAAATTTTGTGTAATATGGGTGGGATCATTCCTAACCCTAAAATCTTCATCTTCTTTTCCATCTTATTTCTATCTATATTTATCCCCTTACAAAAGTTTATATTGTTTGCATGGTAATTTTATATGTATAAAATTTGTGCACCAAATCAATTGTAGTCGTTGGATCAGTAATAAGACTCACTGATTCAACGACTACAAATAATTTGACGCAAATTTTAGTGCATTCTATTTATGCACATATCATTGCTCTTGTTTGAATACCTCAATATATATCATTTAAGCTTTTTTTTTTTTTTTTAACGCACCCCTTCCTATCCCCAAAATTTCTCATGTCTCTTCATCGACTTCTCCTTGCTCATTTTGATTTAGGGCATGTTTGGATTGATGTATTAGGTGGAATAATTTGATGGGATTGAGTTGAATAGTCTTATGAATTCACAAAAAAAATTTAATGTTGTGCTGTATCCTTTTGAGGTGGATCGATCAATCTTCTTGTGCACAAATCATTTCTTTGCTAAGCACAAGATACTTGCCACTTAATATTATTAGGCTTTAATTATTTTGCTTTCCTTATTTGCTGACCTATGGCATTCTAACTGAAAATGCATTACACACTATGCAGGCTAAAGATGCTGCTAAAGTTCAGGACAAATGGCTTTTGGTAAACTTGCAATCCACCAGGGAATTCAGCTCCCATATGGTACTTTTTTTTTTCAAGAACACACACACACACTCTCATTTGAACAGTTCCAATTTTTTCTTTTTGAACATTTCTATTTTTTCATTTTGGGATCTTTGCTCAACTATATTATTTTACATGGTGTCTGTCAAGCTTAACCGCGACACCTGGGGAAATGAAGCTGTTGCTCAAACTATTAGGACTAATTTCATCTTTTGGCAGGTATGTATTATGTTTTCAGTTGCAAGTATCCATGGTTTTTTTTTTTTTCGTTTCTGACTTGGCTTCTTCATAGGGTGTCTTTTGTTACACACCCTCGTTGCTTTCTAATCATAGTTTAGCTCTAGCTAATGGTCTTGGTATTGCTGGGCTTTAGTAGGATTTTGANCTTGAACTGTTTTTCTATTTGAAATATCTCATGATATTTTTGTTTTACTGCAACAAAAATGAATATTCTTCAAACGATTGTTGGTATCTTGATGACATACTGCAAAGACTGGTCTTATTTGAATTAGAATCAGATAGCTGAGCTTATAGGATAGTAAGATATAAGCTCAGCTAGATTAAGAAATGCATGCTGTCTAAGATGGATTGGGGCCTTTGTTACCTGTTGCTAATGCAGCAACATAACCATGCAAGTTGTATTGTCACTGACCTCATATGCTCTCTGTCTCTGTCTCTGCCTCTATCTCTGTCTCTGTCTCTCTCTCTCTCTCTCTCTCCCTCTATATATATATATATATATATTATGTTTGGGTATCACACGCACCCATATTTCATATCCTTTAGTTATTCTTGGACGGAATGAATATTCCCTTTATATCAACCATCAGTTTCCAGGAATGTCATGTGCATATGCTTTCTTGTAAGGCATGCTCCTCGGATATAATATGTGGCCATTATAGTCATGTGTCTAAAACTCAACCCAACTTGGATCGGCTACAATGAATCCTGTTCCTCTATTGTGCTCTATGAAGGGCTATAATTATTGTTAGACCACAAACTATATATTAATTGTATTATATCATTCAAAGTTAATTTTGGTCTACCCTCCCTCTCGTATTATCGATAAGTATCACACCACTCTTACTCGCTAATGCAACACTAGTTCTTCTATAGACATGTCCAAACCAATAAAGCCAATTCTCTAGTATCTTATTTTTTTATTGTTGCTACTTATACGGTTTCACAAATATACTTGTATTTTTTAATACCATTTCTAATTTTACTACACATCCATTCTAACATTGCCATTTTAGCCATACTTAGTTTCTGAACATTTTGTTTCTCCATTGCCCAAGATTCTGTACCATAAAAAATTGTTGGTCTAATGCTTGTCTTGTGCAACTTCCCTGTCAGCTTATGAGTTTTGTGCCGATCACAAAATACACCGATGCCTTACTCTACTCTATCCATCCCACTTTAATACTATGAGAAACATTGTCTTCAATCGCCCCGCCCTTGTGGATAATTGACCATAAAATACCGAATGTGTTAGCTAATGTCTTGGAGTTTGGTCTTCTCTTCCTCACTTTCTGAATCTCTACTTCTGAAATTACTTTTTCTATATCCAGTTTTATTTGTACTTATCTTCAATCCTTTTGATTCTAAAATTTCTCTTTGAATTTCTATTTTAGACATAACCATGTTTCTATTATAAATTATTCATATGCGTGTCCACATGGGAGAATTTCTGAACCAACCCCTTACAGCCTCCTATGAGTTACGGGTTCCTTGTCTGGTATTAGTCTTAATGCAGGCCTATGGGTTGATAATGTTGGAAATAAAAGTCTTCAGATATAGCTTAGATATCAAGCTTGGATAGATTATAAGCAACTTCACTGAGTAACGAAATATAAACTTGCACCTAAACAGCCCACAAAGTAAAATAAGTTTATGAAAGGAGAAAAATATGATGGGGAGAAACAATTCGGAAACTAACAGTTTGGGTTCTAAGGCTTAAAGGCGCAAACAAAGGGTCCAAATCCAGACAAGTGGAGGTCTGGGCAGTTATGACTTAGAATATGGCTCATCCAGGCCTCTGATTTGAGGTAATTTGATGGAAAAGTTGAAGAAGGAATGAGATGTGGAGAACAAGGTACAAGTGGGAAACTATGGGAAATCTCACCTGGGAGCAGTCTGTACTTTCACAAGCAGAGGAGTTGAAGCCAGCTGAGCAGAAGATTTTTGCAGACTTGCAGTTACCAAAAGTTGTGGGATATACTGAGAAGAGAAGCAAATCACAGGTGTGAAACGTAGAGATAAGCGGAGAAGGAAAAGAAGAGATAGAACAAGAGAGGTGCTGCAGAGAGGTAGGGAGAGAAACAGCAGTCACATATAGTAACTAGTACAATATACATGAAAATAGCAATGAGGGGAAACACAGCACAAGATTTATCCTATTAGTTAAGATACAACAAGCTTGTTCTAACTTATTTTAAGTATGTTTCTTACAAGCTAGTTTTTTCCAGCCTTTAGTATGCCATGTTATCTTTATCTTACTGGTATAATTGTTTGCTGTTCATAATACTATTGAAATTGTCCTTGAACTACATAAACCATATATGTATAAATGATGGTAAATTGCATCCATCTCCCCTATAGTTTGTCCAAATATCACCTGGACCCTGCAGGCATGGATGATAACATTGTTGTCCCCGCTATTTTGGTTGTTTATAACTGATTCTCCCAAGCATTAGTGTGGTGGTAGGGATATGTAAAGAATGGATGATGTAAGCAATCAATATTTTTGAAATGCCAATATTACCTTTATCCATGTTACAAATCATTTGCACTCTTTACCTAAAAAGCCATATCTGTCGTACGGACAGCTTAAAGGTGTTGCCAAGCAAAAAGTCACATAGGCCCCCCCCCCTTTCTCTCTCTCTCTGCATTATTGGCTTTGATAGTGGAGCCTGTACTCTTTCTCCTCTACTTTCATCTTAATCATTCGTGGAATCATTAGAACCAGACTCACAAGCAACCACAGAAGCAACAAATTCTTGGTGAGAACACTTCTAGTGGTCTTCCACTAAGGATTCAGGCATTGGTATTGATACCCAAAATTAAAAAATAAAACCCAAAAGATACTTGTTTAAGATGACAAAAAAATAAAAGAGAGAGACACTGTCAAAAAGAAAAAAAGTCTTTATGGATGGTTGAGGGAGTTGAATTCTCTAAGCAACCTTACTGATTTGATGGTACTCCATTGGCAATCAAAGCTTTGGAAGTAGTTTAATGCAAAAGATTNCCAGCTGAGCAGAAGATTTTTGCAGACTTGCAGTTACCAAAAGTTGTGGGATATACTGAGAAGAGAAGCAAATCACAGGTGTGAAACGTAGAGATAAGCGGAGAAGGAAAAGAAGAGATAGAACAAGAGAGGTGCTGCAGAGAGGTAGGGAGAGAAACAGCAGTCACATATAGTAACTAGTACAATATACATGAAAATAGCAATGAGGGGAAACACAGCACAAGATTTATCCTATTAGTTAAGATACAACAAGCTTGTTCTAACTTATTTTAAGTATGTTTCTTACAAGCTAGTTTTTTCCAGCCTTTAGTATGCCATGTTATCTTTATCTTACTGGTATAATTGTTTGCTGTTCATAATACTATTGAAATTGTCCTTGAACTACATAAACCATATATGTATAAATGATGGTAAATTGCATCCATCTCCCCTATAGTTTGTCCAAATATCACCTGGACCCTGCAGGCATGGATGATAACATTGTTGTCCCCGCTATTTTGGTTGTTTATAACTGATTCTCCCAAGCATTAGTGTGGTGGTAGGGATATGTAAAGAATGGATGATGTAAGCAATCAATATTTTTGAAATGCCAATATTACCTTTATCCATGTTACAAATCATTTGCACTCTTTACCTAAAAAGCCATATCTGTCGTACGGACAGCTTAAAGGTGTTGCCAAGCAAAAAGTCACATAGGCCCCCCCCCCTTTCTCTCTCTCTCTGCATTATTGGCTTTGATAGTGGAGCCTGTACTCTTTCTCCTCTACTTTCATCTTAATCATTCGTGGAATCATTAGAACCAGACTCACAAGCAACCACAGAAGCAACAAATTCTTGGTGAGAACACTTCTAGTGGTCTTCCACTAAGGATTCAGGCATTGGTATTGATACCCAAAATTAAAAAATAAAACCCAAAAGATACTTGTTTAAGATGACAAAAAAATAAAAGAGAGAGACACTGTCAAAAAGAAAAAAAGTCTTTATGGATGGTTGAGGGAGTTGAATTCTCTAAGCAACCTTACTGATTTGATGGTACTCCATTGGCAATCAAAGCTTTGGAAGTAGTTTAATGCAAAAGATTGATGGCCAAAAAAAGATGATGTGGCATTTTGTGATTGGTTCTTATAAAGCAAATAAAAAACTGATATATATAGTTAATTGGGAAAATTTCAACATCCCTTCTAGTTTATCATATCTTCAAGGGCACCCCCTCTATTTTCTAAATTTTCAATGACACCTTCAGTTAGATTAAAGGTGTTAATTATAATGCAATTTTACTAAATTGCCCATGATATATTTTAGGAAAAAGTTTATCTACACTCACTCTAGATAAACATTTCTTTAATGAGATCTTCTCTATTTTTAAAATTTTTGTGCGTATTAAAATTCGAACCGATTAAAATTTGATTTAAGCTAATTAAAATTTATTTTTTATATATTAAAATTTAAATCAATTAAAAATTATATATATTTTTTATGTATTAAAATTTGAGCAGATTAAAATTATATGCGAGACTCAAATTAAATTTTAATCAACTCTTATTAAATTTTAATCAATCCAATTTTGATACATAAAAAAATATAAATTTTAATTAACTCAAATTTTAATACATAAAAAATAGATTTTAATCAACTTGAATTGAATTTTAATAAATAAAAAATATAAATTTTAATAGGACCTAACAATTCGAGTTCAAAATGGCTCAAATTTTAATACATAAAATACTTTTAATAGGCTCAAATTTTAATATATAAATAAAATAAAATTTAATCAGTTCGAATTTAATTATAATCGACTCATATTTTAATATATAGAAAAATGAATTTTAGTCGTCTTGAATTTTAATACGTAAAAAAATGAATTTTAATCGGGTTGAATTTTAATCGAATTTTATGTAGAAAGATTGTTTAGAGTTTATATAGGTGCAATTTTGGTATTTTAGATAATTGATTTTTATTATAAATGGTGGTTTAATGACAGAGGGTGTTAGTGATATTTAAATATAAATTAGAAGGGGTGTCAGTGATGTTTTTAATAATAAAGAGTGTTCTTAAAGTTATGATAAACTAGAAGGGGTGTAGTTGAAATTTTCTCCGGTTAATATCATCTCCTGGGCACTATTGTCATTCCATTGTTTCTATTACAAAATTGGGACGGATGTCATTGACAAGGAGGTCAGTGTTATTATTAACAACTACAGGGTCTCGTTATTTGGACAAATCTCAGGGGAGGTGGATCGTGGATGTAAGATACCCCCTTTCTATTATGCATATTTATGCACGTATGGATGTAGAGGGTGGGCCTTAGTGCGGTGGTATGGTTTCTCCATTGTGATTTGGGGTAAAGGGTTAGAGTCACGGAAACAATCCCGCAATAGTGAGAGACTCATGCACTGATGAATGTATGTATGAGTCTGTGTGTGTGTACATCTGTCTGTGCAACAATATATAGGGAGGTATATATATAACATTTTTTGGGTGCCCTCTCTCATCCAGTTAGATTTATCTGTATAACAGTTAGTGGACTGGGAATTTAAAACTGATCTGACTTCAGAGGCTCCAGTGGCAGTAGATGGAACTAGTGAAGAAGACGAGGAAATGCAACTTGCATTGGCAGCTTCTATGGAAGGTGTAAAGGATACCAATGGAGTTACATCGAAGGATGCAAGCATAATCAACACTCAGGAAGAAACATGCTCAATAAAGAAGCCTAGTTATCCACCTCTTCCTGAAGAGCCCAAGGGTGACAGGAACCTCCTTTGCAGGGTAGGCATCCGACTTCCTGATGGTCGTAGGCTTCAGAGGAATTTCTTCCGCACTGATTGCATACAGGTAGGACTTTTACTTCTAGCTTGAATTATTTAATTACTTTTCTATGATTCTTTTTTGTTTCATTTCTTTGGTGGTTGAAATCATTTGTAAACCTTATGGAAAGATCTTGTAAGATTTCCGTTTTCTACCCTTTTGTTTGTTACTCTGTTCGTTCAGTGCCTGAAGTACCATCCTTTGAAGTGGACCATATTGGACCCTGCCTTCCCAAACTGTTTTAATATATGTTTGAGAACTGGAACTGGCCAACTTTAAGCGTTGGGCCGAGATTGGCTTGGCGGGATGATTTGAGATAAATTTTGGATGAATGGAATTATATGATCTCATATTTTATATAATTCCTTCCTCGGTTCTCATTTTAGGCCTATCTGACTGAATCTCTTAACCACCTGCTTGTATATTTGAAAACGAAAGTTTACCAAATAAGACCTGCAAAAGGTTAGTATTGGCCTGCCAGTTCTTTGGTTTCATATCTCACTGACATATAGCATACAGTTCCTTCTGTGAAAAAAGTTGTGCATGTTTGCTAGTACAATTTAGCTATCAAAATGTGATGTATATTCTTAATCTTTGAGCCAGCTCTTTGCTCATTTTTCTTTTCTTATTTCCAGTTACTTTGGTCATTCTGCTACTCCCAGCTTGGGGAAGATGATGCGCGCCCATTTCGCTTGACTCAGGCGATCCCAGGTGCTTCGAAGTGTTTGGACTATGATAGCAAATTAACCTTTGAGGAGTCAGGTCTCTCCAACTCGATGGTTTCAGTTACTTGGGATTGAAGTCGTGTACTATCACAAGAATATCATGAATGCTGCAATCTTGCGTTAAAGAATTTTAGTTTTTGATGAGTTAATCTAGTTGTCTCCAGGAGTTGTCTATGTATGGCTTGCACGTTATGCATATTGTTAGGCAGTTAGGATTTAGGTTCAGCAGTTACTAAAAATTAGGGTAGCATTTATTTTGAGCAGTTTTATTTTTAGAAAACGTGGGCTGTAATGTTAGTGGTGGGGTTATGATTTTGTATTTGCTTATATAATGAGAAAAACCAGAAAATGATGTAGGCAATTTTTTTGCAAGCATCACAAAAAAATCCACTGTGTTAGTTTGAGTTTCAATTTTGTTACTGGCTTGAAGAGAACCAACATTTAAATCCACTGTGTTAGTTTGAGTTTCAATTTTGTTACTGGCTTGAAGAGAACCAACATTTGGTATCAGAGCCAAGTTGTCAAAGTAATGGCCGGTGACGAAGGAGATCCATCTCAGACGCTTGCAGTCGTCAAACCGACGGCAAGAGGAGCCTCAATCCCGATCCAATATCCAACGTTAAGCGAAACGAACTACGGCATATGGGCTGTCAAGATGAAGATAATCTTGCGTTCGCTAGGAGTATGGTCAGTGATCGAAGGTGGAGACACAGACGCTGACAAAGATCAAGGCGCCATGGTGGCCATTTCTCAAGCTGTGCCAGATGATGTGATGATGGCAATCGCGGAGAAGAAGACGGCAAAGGAGGCTTGGGACGCACTCAGGGAGATGCGAGTTGGTGAAGATCGCGTCAAGAAGGCACGCGTACAGGTGCTGAAATGGCAACTGAACAAGTTACACATGGAGGATTCAGAAACAATAAACGAGTTTTCCATGAAGCTTACCACTCTGGTGGGTGAGATCCGTTCGCTGGGCACGAAGCTCGACGACAGCGAAGTTGTTGAAAAACTGTTCAGCGCAGTTCCAGATAGATTTCTCCAAATTATCGGAACGATCGAGCAGTTTGGCGATATTGAGAACATGTCGGTTTCAGAGGCGATCGGCCGTCTCAGAACCTTCGAGGAAGGACTTAAAGGGCGACTGCACTCAAAGGGCAGTGGAGAACAGTTACTCGTTACCCAGGCCGAGTGGGAGGCAAGAATCCCAAAGGCAAAGAGAGATGAAGGTTTCAGCAACAATAAAAGAGGAGGACGTCACGGGAGAGGACGTGGTCGTGGGCGTGGATATGGTGGAGGTCGAGGAAATGGTGAACGCACTAACGAAGACCGAAAGCCACGCAACTTCGACAAATCCAAGATTAAGTGTTTCAATTGTAATGAATATGGACACTTCGCAAAAGATTGTCCCAAGCCAAACCGAAGAGAGAGGGCCAATCTTGTTACAACACAAACCGATGATGAACCGGCACTGCTGATGGCCGAAACTTGTGTTCTCAGCCACGCAATACAGAACGAGCATGTGTTACTGCACGAAGACAAGGTGGTGCCAAAGATTAAAAGCACCCGAGAGAAGGCTTGGTATTTAGATACCGGCGCAAGTAACCACATGACCGGTTGTATCGAAAAATTTGCTGAAATTGACACGACCATTAAAGGGTCAGTCAAATTTGGGGATGGCTCGGCTGTAAAAATCCAAGGAAGAGGCTCGGTTTTGTTTGAAGGCTTCACAGGTGAACATCGAATACTTACTAATGTCTACTACATCCTGATGTTGAAGAGCAACATAATAAGCCTTGGCCAGTTAGATGAGAACGGATGCAAGGTTGTGGTTGAAGGAGGTGTTATGACTATTTTGGACAGATCACAAAGGCTACTAGCAAAAGTGAACAGGTCAAGCAACCGGTTATATGTGTTTAACATAGCACCAGCTCTACCCGAATGCTTTCTGGTAAGGAGCAAAGAAGAAGCGTGGCGATGGCATGCAAGATACGGGCATGTGAATTTTCATGCCTTGAAGTCTCTAAGTCAGAAACAGATGGTGCACGGCTTGCCCATAATCGAGCATGAGGACCGCATCTGTGATGGTTGTTTGATTGGAAAACAACACCGAAATCCTTTTCCGGCAGTGACAAACTTCCGAGCAGAATCACCTCTTGACCTGTGGCATGGAGATTTATGCGGCCCAATTACCCCTGCTACTCACGGAGGGAAGCGCTATTTCTTGTTGTTGGTTGACGATTGTACAAGATTTATGTGGCAGGTGCTGATCCGAGACAAAGACGAAGCATTTGAGGCATTTAAGAAGGTCAAAGCTGCAGCCGAGATGGAGAAAAACAGTAAGCTGAAAGCTTTGCGCACGGATCGTGGCGGCGAATTCACCTCAAATGAGTTCAAGACTTACTGTGAGCTGTTGGGAATTAAGCGTTATCTCACGGCGCCTTATTCTCCTCAGCAGAACGGAGTTGTTGAACGAAGAAATCAGACGGTGGTCGGCATGGCAAGGAGCTTGTTGAAAAGCATGGGAGTCCCAGGTGGATTTTGGGGAGAAGCGGTATCAACTGCCGTATATCTCTTAAATAGAGCACCAACAAAGAGCGTCGTCGGCAAAACTCCCTATGAAGCATACTATGACCGCAAGCCAAATGTTGATCATTTTCGTATTTTCGGATGCCTTGCACATGTAAAAGTAGTTACACCGCACATTCCGAAGTTGGCTGATCGTAGCAAGCAAATGGTGTTCATTGGTTATGATATGAATACAAAAGGCTATCGAATGTTCGACCCAGCGACAAGACGAGTTGTGGTGACACGAGATGCAGTGTTCGAGGAGGAGAAGAAGTGGGAGTGGAGCAACTCTCCAGTAACAGGTACAGGATCAGCAGGAAACACTCTTGCAGCACACTATTTTACCATAGCAGGCGCATCTGATACGACAAATCAGGAAGATAAAGTAGCGGTCAGCGATCCTGGTATTGGTATCAGTAACTCTGGTATGGATTTCCCACAGCCGACACAGGAACAAACTGGTAACCGATACCAGCATGCTTCACCAGTGATGAACATGAGATCCAGAACATCTGTTTCAGACCCCGATTCATTGACACCACACACTCCAGATGCAACTTTTGATGCTTTTGATGGTTCGGCCTCAACAGAAGGAGTGCAGCCCACAACATCTGATGAGAGTTCATCAGAAGGACCACGGGGTAAGCGTGACATCAAAAGCCTTTACGATAAAACCTTCCCAATAGAACTGGAGTATTCGGGACTGGTTTTGCTAGGAGAGGAGGAGCCATCAACTCTCGAAGAGGCTAAGGCAGACCCGATGTGGAGAAAAGCAATGGAGGAGGAAATTTCTTCCATTCGAAGGAATAAAACTTGGAAGCTCGTCCCATTACCCGACAGCCACAAACCTATAGGTCTAAAGTGGGTTTACAAACTAAAGAAGGACACTCAAGGCAGAATCGTGAAGCATAAGGCGAGACTAGTGGCAAAGGGGTACGTTCAGCGACAAGGCATAGACTTTGATGAAGTTTTTGCCCCTGTTGCTCGGCAAGAGACGGTACGTTTGCTGATCTCTATTGCGGCACATGAAGGATGGGAGGTGCATCATATGGATGTAAAGTCAGCTTTCCTCAACGGTGAGTTGGAAGAAGAAGTGTATGTAATTCAACCGCCGGGATTTGAAATAAAAGGAGAAGAGCACAAGGTATTGAAACTGCACAAGGCATTGTACGGTTTGCGACAAGCACCTAGAGCCTGGAACTCAAAACTGGACAAGTCATTGAGGACACTCGGTTTTGAGAGGTGTTCTTTAGAACATGCTGTGTACCTGAGAAATCAAGGTAAAGGGAATTTAATTGTTGGAGTCTACGTGGATGATTTAATCATCACTGGAGAGTGTATTCAAGACATAGACAAGTTCAAATCACAGATGGAAAAATTGTTTAGCATGAGTGACCTTGGGTTACTAAGTTACTATCTGGGAATTGAAGTCTGTCAGAATTCTCAAAGGATTACACTCAACCAGTCGGCATATGCAAGGAAGATTTTAGATAAATGCGGCATGAAAGATTGCAACCCTTCGCAAATCCCGATGGAACCTCGTCTGAAACTGAGCAAGGAAAGCACAAGTCCACCTGTAGACACAACTCTGTACCGAAGTATTGTTGGCAGCTTAAGATACCTACTGCACACGCGCCCAGATTTGGCATTCTCTGTCGGCATGGTGAGTAGATACATGGAGAAGCCCACAACGGAGCACATGGCCGCGGTGAAGCACATACTGCGGTACGTGAAAGGAACTTTAAACCTCGGTTGCGTTTATGAAAAGAAGGAAGGAAGCTTGAAGCTGATCGGCTACTCTGATAGTGATCTAGCTGGTGATACTAATGATAGGAAAAGCACCTCAGGTTTAATATTTTTCCTTGGGTCAAATCCTATTAGTTGGTGTTCACAAAAACAAAAAGTGGTTGCGTTATCTTCCTGTGAAGCAGAGTACATCGCTGCCTGTGCAGCAGCATGTCAAGGAGTATGGCTGGGACGATTGTTGGCAGAGTTGTTAAAAAACGAGGTTAAGAAAGTGTTTCTGAAGATTGATAATCAGTCCGCAATTGCATTAAGCAAGAATTCAGTTTACCATGAGAGGAGCAAACACATCGATACCCGATTCCACTACATTAGAGATTGTGTTGAATCAGGAATGATTGAAATTCAACATGTTTGCACAGAAGATCAGCGTGCTGATATTCTGACAAAGTCACTTGCAAGATTGAAGTTCTTGGAGATGAGAGAGAAAATTGGTGTGCGGATCGTCAGTGGAGGACAACAAGCTTAAGGAGGAGATTGATGAGTTAATCTAGTTGTCTCCAGGAGTTGTCTATGTATGGCTTGCACGTTATGCATATTGTTAGGCAGTTAGGATTTAGGTTCAGCAGTTACTAAAAATTAGGGTAGCATTTATTTTGAGCAGTTTTATTTTTAGAAAACGTGGGCTGTAATGTTAGTGGTGCAGTTATGATTTTGTATTTGCTTATATAATGAGAAAAACCAGAAAATGATGTAAGCAATTTTTT